AATACTGCCTGGAGAGACCCTGGGAGCGTCTGCGGCGAGACAAGGGACTGACATGGAAAAAACAGCTGGACGAGGCTATTAACAAGGCCTGTAAGGCCTTCTGGACATGCAGTGGCACATTTGGAAAAACCTGGGGACTAAAACCAAAGGTGGTGTGTTGGTTATACACTGCTACAGCTAGATCCATAATTACCTGTGCTGCCACTATATAGTGGCCTAGAGTTAAACTTAAACAAGTCAGGCAGAACTAAGCAAATTGCAAAGGATGGCCTGCTTGGGAATTACAGGAGCAATGAGAACAGCTCCAACAGCTGCAATGTATATCCTACTAGGACTCCCCCCACTGCATCTGCAGATGGAAGCAGAGGCCAAGTTAGGAAATTACAGATCATGTTGCAATGATCAATGAAGACCTAAATCTGAAGGTTTTGGACATGCATACATGACTCGGGACATGAAAAAAGAACCCATCCTAGAGATGGGGTATGATAAAATGGGACCGAAACATGTCTGTGATAAACCCTTCACGATCAGATTTCCTGACAGAAGTGAATGGAAAGAGGGGGTTCAACCTGATAGAAAGAGGGGACTAATCTGGTATACAGATGGTTCCAAGACAAATACAGGCATGGAACTGGGGTGTATTGTGACGGAACAGGGTAGGAACGTACTTTCGGCTTTGATCAGTATAAAACAGTATTCCAGGCAGAAGCGTATACCATTAAGGCATGCACAATTGAGAATTTAGATAGAAACTATAAAAATAGGAATATCTATATTCTATCAGATAGTCTAGCTGCAATTAAAGCACTTGGTACACACCAAATCACTTCAAAATTGGTCTGGGACTGCCACCAATTCCTCACACAACTGGCCAGACATAACAGAGTTCAGCTGATATGTGTGCCAGGCCATGAGGGTACTGCTGGGAATGAAACTGCAGATCAGGTGGCAAGAACAGGATCTGAACAGCCATTCACAGGACCTGAACCAGCTTGCGGAATCTCAGTAGGAGAGTATTTCTGGGAATCCACAACTGGACTCAAAGAGGCAAAAGGATTTATATCAGGACCCTCTCCCAAAAGAATGAGGGACCTGTTAACCGTTCAGCGTGGTTTGACGTGTATGTTTCGTCAAGGTATTTAAATCGTCTGGGGGGGTTCGACGTCAATGTTTCGTCCAGCTGCACACCTATGTTATAACGCCCATAATAATTGATGGTTTTGCTGTAGATTGTTAGATTTTTCGCTGGCCTGTTGTCAGGAGAACTATATTTAATGACACACGAGTTT